TCATGGGGGAATTTTTATCAAGTGCGTGATGTAAATAAAAATATGCAAATGATATGAAATATGAGCGATGAGCGTTTGCCGCGAAAATTTCCCCAGGGTTCTCACCCGTTGACAAGATTATGACACCTTCCTAGTTTATTAACTTTATTTGAAAATACGTTTTTACTAAATAACTCGGCCACTTTTTGAGATTTTTAATGTTTTTCCTTTGGAAACACTAGATAAAATAACGAACTTAAATTTTGTCAAATAAAAGAAAAAACGATTTTTTTGGCCTCTGAAGGTGGGAAGTAACCTTAAAAAAATAGAATTTAAGGGGGAGTGCTTATTAGAAAGGGGCACTTACAGGAAGGTCCCCTCCTGTAAGCCAACAATTTAGCTTTATTTGCTCCTTTAATTTATCCAGGGTTGTTGATGTTGGCTCAGAATGGCGTACCTTTAGTAATGAGAAGTCCACTAGTGATCCATCTCGTGTTGGAGCAGCCCAGGTAGGACGGAAGGCTAACAACAAAAGTCAGCAAAATCGGATTTCTCCCCAAGATACATCCATGAGAGTAAAGAAAGTATCAACTAGATACTACAAAAATCAACTTTCAATGTGAGAATTGCTAAGGAAGGAGATCAGCTGGGGAAGAAATGAAGGTGTTATGAATGCATTCATAACATTGGACTTCACGCCTCCAAGTTCGACTTGTGCATGTCTAACTCAACAAAAGTTGTTACCAGACTGCTGCCATCCACATAGAACACCTTGCAAATATTTTGTTTGAAATCACGTAATCACCACCTTTGAAAACACTCCTTTTGACTCCTCTGTGGCACAAGTCACTGGTAATAGATGGTCCTGAGCTTGACTTTACTTGTAATTATTTGCATAAGAAATATCTCTTCTAAACATTTCAATGCAGATCTTGCCAGTCAATCAAGGAATTGGGCATTTATAGCTAGCCCACTGGGCTAGGAAAGCACTTTTTGCAAATGAAAACGTTTGCTAGCTATTGAAGTCAGCCTTACCCATTTTCTGAGCCCTGTTTAAAAGCATTTTAACTAATCAAGGTTAAAAATTAGTTGCTCATATCATGCCCACCCCACAACTAAACAACGTAAAACTTGGAAATTAAGTTATCGTAGCAGGGTGGTTTCAAATTTGTCTTCTCAAGATGACTGGGAAGCATAATCAACAAATTGGAACACCCAAAGCCTGATTTAGTTAAACTAGTTTAGTTTGTGTGAATGGGACATAAGTTTTGATCCAGTGACAACTGTTTTACTTGACAACTGTTACTGTTTTGATGTGGTGGCAGTCAGTGTGAAGCACTAGCAGTAACAACCCATCTGGTTAGCAACAGACTTAACCTTCTATTCTTCTTACTAGCAACTATGTTATTTAATTCGCATCCAAGTTGACAAGTAAGAAAGAAGTTAGAATTTTTTCCAAAGGGATTATTACACAGGAATGTAAGAAGACATTTAGGAGAGCTTTGAGGCTGATGGACTGTAAATGTTTGTTTGCAGAATCCATTGTTGGGTGGAGGAGACCTCTCCACAATCATTGAGAGGGTGCCACAGGGAAACAGTGAAACAGACGGCTACTCCAAATACCACAATCGAGGCGGGGTTAGTTATTGTTGTTGAAACACATGTTTGTAATGTTTGCATAAAAGAGATAGCATAGTTTTTTTATGTGTCATCAAGATGCAGATTTTACACAAACCTAATACTTACTCAACTGTCTGCTGCACACAGTACTTCAACACTTAAAAAAATTAATAATATCGTTTTATCATTTTTTAGATTATTATATTAAATGATTTTTCTATAACAGTCTACATGTTTTTAATAATTATTTGTATCTTGTTCATTTAGTTAACTGGTTCAGACAGAAGTCTCATGAATGCTTTTAGAGAGATTGGTATCATGGCTGATAGAATAAATCTTCCCAGGAAGATAGTGGTAAGCTTTGTTATTTGTGACCCTCCACAGGATTTCCTACATAATGGTGATGACACCGTGCGATGACACGGCACGCTGAGCATCACATTTAACACTTGGTTTATTGCAGAGTAGTAGTTGATGTAAGACTTTTGCGATTTTGACCATAACCCTCAGTGGGTATAGGGCCAGGAGTAGTTGATGTAGCAACATTATTCAAGAGAATGTAACCAAAAGAGGGATTTGTTGACAATGAGACAATTTGCTTTAAACTGGAGAGCCCAAGCTCTCCACAGGAATCCTCAGTGGTATAACAATCAAACGTTAAATTTTATAAGTCTATTTTTTCCCTGGAGTCAAAGTATCCCCAACACCCTTTGACATGGGAATTTCAACCATATACACATGTAAACACTTGCATACCTTCCTCTGAATCCAGACAAATAGATATTTTTGTATATTTATTAGCAAAAAGCATCCTTAATAATGCAATCCCCATGTTTTGATTTAGGGAAGTTGTTCCTTGAAAGACAGCGGAAATGGCATTTTCAAGTCCCTAAAAATACATGACCCTAAACCCCATAAGTGGCTCATCCACTCAATTAACTTTCTCTGGAATGCATGCTCCAGGAAAATTGTGCACTACACCCCTGCTTGAGACCCTATTTGTACATTACCCTTGTGCTCTCCATGTGCCTGACAGTAAATGTTCACTGCAGCAAAGAATTTAGTAGACAAGTTTATATTAAATTATTCTTGTTGACTGAATAAAATCTTTGTCTCCGGTTTTCTCAGTGGCAAGAGATTTTTGTGTTTTTGTTACTGGCAGTACAAGTGAACTAATTAAGCTATTTGTGGTTGGTTTATCCTCAGGACCGTGCGAATCAGCTTTTTAAACAAGTTCATGAACAAAAGAGTTTAAAAGGTCGGAGCAATGATGCTATTGCGTCTGCATGTTTGTACATTGCCTGCAGACAAGAGGGAGTACCAAGAACATTTAAAGGTAACAACAAATCATGCACTAAAAATAATACTGTGAACACATTCTCTGGCTAAAATTCATTCTATTTTACCCTTTGAAGACTAGAGACAGACATTTAAAAGTAAGGTGTTTCAAAGTATGTAGCCAGAGAAGGTGTTCACAGTTTTGTTGTTGTTGTTGTTGTTGTTGTTGTTACGCCCCCCTTTTCACATTGCATCGAAATTTGAAAGGAAACTGATTGTTCTCAAACTTGTCGATAGTTATTAAGCCTTATATCGAAGCAGAATATTAAAAGTTGGTAACAGTAACGAATTTCGCCTCAATTTAAATCTCTCTATGTAGCATAAAGCTAAAAAATCTCGGAGATCTCGGATTCACCTCTGTTTGTCTTTTGTTAACAGAAATTTGCGCTATCAGTAAAATCTCCAAAAAAGAAATTGGTCGGTGTTTCAAACTAATATTGAAGGCGCTTGAAACAAGTGTGGATCTTATAACGACAGCGGATTTTATGGTAAGTCAATAAGAGTGTTGTACCACATAACCTATGAGGCCAATCAGTTTGAGAGAAAAATTCTTAGTCGATTAAAACATTATGTATAAATGATATCTTCAACAAAACCAACTAGTCAACCAAATAGTGCATGACCTTTGTGATATCCAATTTTTGGAGTCGTTGAATTATTTTTTGGTTTTAGTCGAGGTTCTGTTCCAATCTTGGTCTTCCGCCGGATGTACAGAAGGCTGCTACACACATCGCCCGTAAAGCAGTTGATTTGGATTTAGTACCGGGGTAAGTGTTGTGTTGGACGTTCTTTTGTCAAATAAGTTGCAGTTTCGGTTGTGAAATACAAAAGAGCTGGCGTCACCATTCTATTCGCACATCCAACGATCACATAAAAATATGAGAAAATAGAGAGCTGTGAACAGTCTTATTGTTTGCTTCTAATATGACGCTATAAAAGTTAAAAATAACTCTCAACAAAATTTAAAGAGACTGAGATCAAAATTGATTCTCGCATTCTCGCACGAGCTGACCAGTAGCTATTCCATAATTATCCCAGTCTGGTTTTGTACAGAGATTGTTTCATTATTTAGTTAATACAACTCAGCACCATTTTTTCAGTTACGTTCTTTAATCACCAACTTTTGCCGTTTTAATCCTACTGAGTAAAGGGTATCATACATGTACTTTCCTCCCTGATGTGTCTGTATTTCTTGTTTCTTTCCTTTAGTCGAAGTCCTATTTCAGTTGCTGCCGCTGCAATTTACATGGCTTCTCAAGCATCAGACGAAAAAAGATCGCAAAAAGGTTCAAATGAAAGATTTTTTCCCTCGTGACTTTGAAATACTGTATTACTGTATGATCAGTGTTGTCTCGATCACTCACTGAATCAAAAATTTTACTTGTGTGTCAAATCGTTTCAGTATTCACTGGTAATAATCGAGGGGTGTGTTACATTCATTACCTCTCTCCCTCCACATACAAGTTTAATGCATTACTGCGCTTTCCAGTGACATGCGGACTCCAAAATTCAGAGCTCAACCGACAAATGCGTTTTACGCTACCGTGAATCAATTGTTCGGCGGCTCCTCTCAGCTTCCGACTACTGCCGAGCACTGTTTCGCTGTCTGAACTTTGCTCAACGATTTGATTACCGCGCGCTCGGCAGTAGTCGAAAGCTGGGAGGAGCCGCCGAACATTTGATTGACGGTACTGAAAAACGCATCTGTCGGTTGAGCTTTGAATCTTAGAGTCCGCGTGCTATTGAAAGGCGCAGCAACGGGTATCGACGCTGTTAGTTTGTTTCTGGTTCAGTGGAGCTGGAGGGTGTGGACTGCTGGCAGCTGTTTTTTTTTCTCTTAGAGTCACTTAGAGTTGGACGAGTGTTTGGCCATCGGAAGCGCAAAAGGGCGGTATGGCCGAGTAAGGAATGCCCATCCTTCGACCCATTCCCCTTTAGGCTAAAGCGTCTCGCTGCGTCTCCCTGCTGAATTTTGAGAGAAAAATAGACTGCCAGCATTCTAGGAGGGTGTGAAATAAATATATTCCCTTCTGTTCGTGGAGAATTTGAGAGAAACAGCTTAAAAATTCTACAATCAGTTCAAGTACTCGGTCTTAAAGTAGACCTTTTTATCCCAGATCAGTCATAAAAATCAATACACTGTTTTTTCTTTTTATAGAAATCGGCGACATAGCTGGTGTAGCAGATGTTACAATTCGTCAATCCTACAGACTTATCTTTCTACGAGCAGCAGAACTCTTTCCAAGCGACTTCAAATTTACCACACCCGTGGATAAGCTTCCAAATCTTTGATCCGTGTTCTCCGGCTCCTGCTTTTTCTCAGTTTAGATATTTATATTTATTGGCAAGAAATATTCTTCGATTACTTGTGACACTTAAAACGTGACCATTTTTTCTGTGTTTCAGTCTATCGTATCGACATTTCTTTCAAACTTGGTGAGTTCTGGGTTCACTTAATTCTACAGGCCATTTAAATGCGTGGATTCTGACAGTGTCGGGTTTGGCCTGCCCTTAACCTATCAGTTCAGTGCAAACTAAACGCTACTGACCAATGTATCGTCGGTAGAGTTGGAAACATGGCTCACGATGTCGGGTTTACGCCGGTTTCGCTACCTGTCGAGTTCGCTACATGTTCGCTGCCCACGGACACCAGCAAACACCAGCAAATACAACCAAATCGGCGATTCCTTTATAAAAATCATTTTTAATTGTATTAAAATAAATTATATTGGTTTATCGTACAGTTGCAGCGAAGTTTGATGATGTGTAACAGCCGTTTTTACCCAGGAAAACGTGTTAAAACAAGTATTAAACTTCAGACAACCTTAACTTATTGCATTTCTGATATTTTAGTAAGCCGAGCAATATTCTCTGCACATGACACACACCGCAAACAACAACACAAAGTCTATAACCTCCAAATGGGCCTGGCTATGTAATCAATAAATTCGGCGCATTTGCTAGAACTAGATGATGCTAATAGACAATTGCGAGATTATTAGCAACAATATCGTTCTTTTTTAACGATGTGTACCAAAGGCTGCTTGAGAAAATCGTCGCCTCAGTAACGGGGACAAGTGATGAGGATCTGATCCCCTTTGAAAGGATTTCTCGTTACTATGCAACATAGGATGGGAAGCACGGTGGCCTCATGGTTAGTGTGCAAGACACCGGATTGAGCTGTCCAGGTTCGAGTCCTGGCCGGGGTGTGTTCTTGGGCAAGACACTCAACTCTCACAGTGCCTCTCTCCACCCAGGAGTATAAATGGGTACCGGCTAATTTAATGCAGGGGGGTAACCCTGCGATGGACTAGCATCCCATCCAGGGGGGAGTAGAAATACTCCTAGTCGCTCCATGCTACACAAACCGGAATAAGGTCCGGCCTGATGGGCCACTTGGCTCGTATTCAGACTTTACCTTTTTTATGTACGTTAGGATGACCTCGTTTATTGAAAGGTTAGCAACAGTTTACAGCAAAGATATCATTTACTGGCTAATGAACGAAGAAACGCATGCACTGAGCACAAACAACACGCCGTCCGTTGTCGCTTTTTCGAAGCCCCTTTGTTAACCTCTTAATTCCGGTCTAGTGCGCAGGCTGTAGTTTACATATGTACACTTGCTAGTCTGTTTGTTTTACTGCCGCGATCTATGACCTTTTATCGACTGTCCACTATACACAGTAACCTTCCGGTAGATTCAATAGGACTCGTTTTCAATTGAAAAAAAAGCATAAATAAAACATAAATAACATTCATTTATATAAGGCAGACATCTTTACCGTGCTACGCGCCACCAGACACACGACTTAAGACTTTTTTCAGCGGTGGTGTTTCCCTTTGCCCAATCACTGGTTGTAGTCGCACGAAGGGAATCCGAAGGGAATCGTTTCGACTTTCTTTAGCGTTTCGTGTTGACATAAACTTAAAAAGACGTTTCTTTGGTGTTAGCTTAGCGATGACGAACCTCGTTTCCAGGGTATCTCTTCTTCCCGCACCCAGGAGCGAGACAGAGAGACACCGGAAACGAGGTTGAGTAATGGCACATAATTTAACACAGTAGGTGTTCCGTAATTACTCCATCTTAAAAGATCCAATAGACCTTTCCCGCATTCCACTTCAGTGCGTAGGAACAATAGCACAACAGCGAGGTTGCGGTGGACATTTTCATACATTTGCTGTATTTTTGTCCACCCTAACTTCGACTCGGTGCCATTGTTTGTTGGAATGCGGGAAAGGTCTATTATAGGCTCGATTACCAGTCGCTGTTCGGGAAAGGAGCCCCCGAAGATATATTTCTTAATAATAAAACCAAATCATCTCAAAATAATATTGTTTTTTCGGGGAGGAACGTAGACCGGACAGGAGAGAGCGGCGGAAATCGAGCCTACATCTATTAGGGACTGGTCAAAAAGCACGGGGGAGGAGGGGGTGGACCAAAGCATTTGGAAATGAGGTGGTTAGAAACCCTTTCCATTTGACACAAAACTGAGTGACCCACCCCTAAACGAGGGTTGAAAATCACATGACCAACCTCTAAAAAAACATGACATTTTTGGTCGCATAATCTAACAAAGCCACATTTTGTGCATGAAATTTTGATATTATTTACGTGTTAGTTATATTTCTTAATACTAATACCAAGTCATCTCAAAATAATATTGTTTTCCTTTACTCTTGCCATTTTAAGTCATGTCTGTAAACTTCAAGAAAACTTGACCTTAAACCTTTCACACTAGGCCTCCAGCCTCGCTATGCGTAGAACAGTGATCCATCTAGAAAAAGGGCTTAGTGAGTCCTTGGAGTCACATAGCCTGGAGACTACGAGTCCCAGATCTATGAACATGTGTCCCGTACCCTTGGGGACAAATAGCATGTGGACGCAAGTTGGCCATTTGATGTTCTTGAAGACCAGCATGTCGACAGAGCGCGGTATTTTGAAACTTTCCGCCCTGGGACTCCTTGCTCTATCCATTAGACTTTTTAGCTTTCGTACAGATTTTACAATACATGAAATTGTCATCCCTATTGTACTAGGAGCCATAATCGGCTCCTGATTGTACACCAGCCACTTTCTCAACCATGGCTCGCAGTTTTCGTCTTTTGAAACTGGAAGGAGCTATCTCTGTTGTCGATTGTGCCAAATGTGCGCCAATTCCTGATAAATAAACAGGATGACGCACCCCATGGGTAGCTGAAAATTGAACGACCCACCCCCTACGAAGGGCTCAAAAACTGATGACCCACCCCCTCTCTGCTCCAGCCCACCCTCCAATAGGAGGGGGGCGCTTAAATTTACCTTGATATCCCTCAATACGAAACAATTGTTAGGCCAACGGGAATGCAGGGGAAATCCAACCCCTTCCCAGGGCTTTTCTCATAATGAACGAGAGAAAAGGCCTGGGAACGAGGTAGGTAAAAATCCGCTTATCATCCTGGAGGGGAACCAATGGTATGGTAATAGTTAATGTGCGATCTTGCAGGAACAGACTTTGCCAACAATGAAGAATTTGTTACTTCTATTTACTGTGCGATTCCCACATTCAAGTGGGCAATCTTTGAGAATACAGAAACTATTTATCTCAGTAGGGTGAGCTTGGATGCGGTCAATTGAAAGAAAAGCTGTAATGTTCCCTTGCAGAATCCGTTACTGTGTGATGGAAACCTCTCCACAATGATTGAGAGAGTACCATTTGCACCAAGAAATAAGGATACTGATGGTCATTTCAATTATAATTATAATAAAAGTGGAGTAAGTTGGTTTCTAGTGTAGACATGTGAAACAACGTTAAGCCCCATCCACGCTGATACTGAAGAATTTGAGATAAATGTGGTATCAGGTTGACAGTGAAGGGGCGTGGCCATCGTTGACGTTCAAGCCTCAATTCTCGGAGTCATTGTGTCGTGTTCTTTAAACAAGACACTTAATTCTCATCGCTGTCACTCTCCCCTCCCAAGAGTATAAATGGGTACCGGTAAACTGTAAGACAAATCTGACTAGTCTGGGGGAGGGTGGTGTGGGGGTAACCTAAGCTAACCTATGATCCGTTCGTAACCAAACGCGTCTGTTTTCATCAGTCACTAGTCTCCGAAAAAGCCTCCTTTGTTGAGTATGGCGGGGTGTGGGAGATCGAAATTGATTATGGTCGTTTTGTTTTGCTCAGAAATTAGTTTCATCAGCAAGTATTACAAGTTTGAGAATTTCTTTCGCACCCGTCTTTTAGTTGATGTATTAGTTCGGTTGTAGCGGATGCAATTTGCATGGCCTCCAAGGCATCGGGGGAAAAAGAGGTCAAAAAAAGGTTTGCAGTATTTTCCTGTTTGTCAGGTCTTCAATGTTAGGCAGACTCTGTTATCACGTTTGAACGAGTCACAATGATACATTTGTTTATTTTAAATCAAAGTTCCCACTGAGGCAAGCTTAATTTTGTCTGAATTTGTCCGTGGGAATGTTGTGTGATATGCTAAACTTCGCCCCTGTGTTTGCATTTACTGTGTTCCCGTCTTTTCAGTTTCACATCTAGTGAGCTGACAGCATCTTTGTCGCAAATTATAGCTATTCCGCCAGCCCATGATAGCTAATAACAGTTTTATTGACATATGTCCAATTCTTTTTGGCTTCGTGAGCGATGCAACGCAAATGAATCGTTATAAAATCACTTTATTTTCTAATACGTGTCAGGGTATTTTACACTGCAAACAAACATTTTCCCTTAAAACAGAAACTTGATAAAAATCCCAACCGGCCGGAGGCTAACCAGTTGGCCAACTGGAAGGCCAACCGAAGCAAATAAAAAATATTATACGATACAATTAAGAATGTATTTGTGTAATACTAATCTCTTACTAACCGAGCGCAAGGGTCGTCCTAGAGAATTGAAACGGTCCGCACGGCAAAATCCCAAACAAGAAGGAACCAATCAGAACGCTCGGATTTACCTGAAGACAACCTTCCCGCATTATTAAGTGTAGTATATAACATTTTCCATTTGCTTGAAGTCGACAAAAAAAAAGATCTACAGTCGAACCCCTATTAAACGGCCACCCTCGGGGAAATGGATAGTTGCCGCTTTAATAAAGGCGGCTGGGGCCCGTTTCTCGAAAGCCCCGGAAACTTCTCGGGCCCGTGCAACCATAGCAAACTCTCGAATCTTACGATTACAGAGCTGTTTTATTCACATATTCTTAATATGAAGAGAAGTTACCTCCATACAATAAGTTTCAGGCGTAAACACTTCTCCGTTTTTAGATACAGATGGACTAAAAATGGCTTTACGGACCCGAAAGGTTTCCGGGGCTTTCGAGAAATGGGCCCCTGGCCGCTTAATAGAAGTAAAAACAATAGAAAAGCCATCATTGCGACTTTGATAACTGGTCGCCAAATAGGGGTGGCCGCTTAATAGGGGTTCGACTGTATTTCTCTGTTTCTCTCTGGCGATATTAAAGTGCACTATGTGATTTGATGAATATTACTATTGGTTCTCTAACCTGCGACAAGCTGAATCCCTTGTTTCTCTTCTCCACAGGAGATTCCCCAGATGTTCCATGTTTCCGTTTTGTCTCAGATCAGGGTATGTGCCACTTCTATTTTTTCTACTTCGTCTTTCATTTTTATTTACGATTTGTTAGTTTTAATTTTTTTTTCTTTTCTATCTATGATTGTTCCGTTAATAATAACATCAAATGTATCGAAAGTTAAAAAAAATGCTAGTTATTCAGTATTGTATAAATAGTGTAAAGTGGCTGTGTGAGCACTGTAGTGTACTGACCGAAAAAATGTAAAATATCTTATAGGTATTGCCAGCAATGTGAAGTAGCTGTGTTTGTATTTTAAGCTGTATACGTAGATGTATTGTAATGTTAGTTGTGTAAGTATTAGTAGTGTAAGTTATGTAACTGGCTGTATTGTATGCAAATAAAAGTTTATTAAAAGAAAAAGAAAGAAAGAGAAAAAAGATGTTTCCGTAAAACAAAAACAAGATAAGTGACCGAGGATGATAAGACTAGAAAGTAGTCTGCAGAAAACACCTGCAGAGCATTTCCCACACGTAGGCAAATTGTGCAAGATAAATCCTCCGGCAACAGATCTGCTTAGCAGGCTAATTCGCATCTTCTACTTACGGGCACTTTCCATTCGACGAAAAACTCCCGAAAACTTTCGAAACGGAGCCAAATGGTAGGGAAATTTCCTGGAAGGTTTAAAATATAGTACAAACCGCGGTCACTTTTGAAAATGTATGTTTTCTAGCATACGAAACGTCAAGTTTATAAAATGCGTTGGAGTACAATGTTTAACGCCGCTGTTTGTGTTATACTTTCCTGGGAGAATTTCTGGAAAGTATGAGAATTATTAAATTTCCGAAATGCGAACCATTTAACCGAAAATTCTGGAAATTCCGGGAGGAAAATTGACTGGAACGGAAATTTCCGGCAAGAAATTTTCGCAAATTTGACTATACGTAGCAAGGTTGTCCTCTTTTACGGAAATTCCGGAAAATACTGTTCCCGATTCGCCACTGGAAATTTTCAGAAGGCAATACCGGAATTTTTCGTCGAATTGAAAGCGCCCAGAATCCGATCAAGGCTTTGAATAATAATATCAGATTCCGCTCTTTGAAATCAGAAATCAGCTGTACCTAATATATCTAAGTTTTAACCATCTGATCAAATGTTTTGTATGTACTATCAATTCGAATCAATAAACTACACAACAATGGGCCACTTTTAAAGGAGTATCTATATATCTTGTGGTTCCGGCTGGGCTGGACACTGAATTTACAGAACAGGGAAAAAACGATATAAATTTGTTTGATCTACGCAACTGGCGCTCGTTTGTCTTAGAAGTGCCCCTCCCCTCATGGAGCGAGAATGATACGTTTTGAAACCAAACAAGCCGGCTGGTAGTTGACTTAAATCCTGAAGCAGCCCTTTATGCTGTAGTTTTGTCCTAGAAAACACTTGTTAATTCTAAAATAGACTGTGAATGACTCCTTCCTCTTCCTAGAATTTCCATTTGTTCAACCAATGAGAAATACACTGGAAGAAGACCAAGTATTTATTCCCTTGTACCTTATTTGTTAAGTTAGTTATTAATTTTCCTAATAAATGTGGCCCGAGATTATAGCTATTATCTCTCAAGATTCCTGATCCTGGACAGACTCGACATCTCATTTTGCCATGTAATCCAATTCCTAACCTCATTCAAAGTGTATGAACCCTGGCGGGTACCTGAGACCTAAGTTATACCCTCCCTCAAAGTCTATGAACCCTGGCGGGCACCTGAGACCTAACTTATACCCTCTCTAAAGTGTATGAACCCTGGCGGGTGCCTAAGACCTAAATTATACCCTTTTTCAAAGTGTATGAACCCTGGCGGGCACCTGAGACCTAAAGTATACCCTCTTTCAAAGTGCACGAACCCTGGCGGGTACCTGAGACCTAAATTCGATATACCCTCCCTCAAAGTGTATGGGCCCTGGCGGGTACCCAAGAGCTAAATTATAACCTCCCTCACATTATCGAACATTAAAAGCGTACAGCGGCACCTAAATTAGCTTCAGTTTCTTCTTTATGGCTCTCATGTCTTCCTCTGGAATCGAAGTGCAAAAACGAATAATTAATTACAAAAGTACATTAATAAATAAATGGATTTATAGATAGACTCAAAATTGCATGACTTCTTGATCATATTGAGTTTTGTTTTCGCGATACCAGTGCAGTGCGCCACCAACTGAGTTATCAAGCCAACTGGGAGCTGGTCACTTTGTGAGTTCGTAATATACCCGTACGGATATGTTGTTGTATTAGTTGTTGTTGTTGTTGCTGTTGTTATTGTTATTGTTGTTGTTGTTTTTTTTTGTTGTTGTTGTGTTAGAAGTAGACCAAGCTACATTCACGCCATTAGTTTTCAGCACGACAGGTGGAATGGCGGTGGAATGTAATCGATACCATAGTAGACTTGCTGAGTTAGTTGCTACAAAGAAGGGCGAAAGTTATGCGACTACCATGTCATGGATCATGGCAAGAGTGTCTTTTGCGCTGATGAGATCAGCATTACTTTGCTTAAGAGGCTCGCGAGCTTCTTTGAGAGTCCACTTAGAACTGTCGGACATTGACTTAGATATTGAAAAAGGACATGCAAATATTCGTGAAGGCACTGAGAATGCTGTTTCTGGGGAACTCTAGCCAAAGCCAGGAATACTGAGCCAAGAAGTGTTTGTAATTTTTGTACTTGACATAATACGATGTTTAGACTACTTATAAAGCAAGTTTTTTTATTAGGTTAACTTTTTTGTCACATTTTCTGGAAGCTGAGCCATTATTTTGTTTTTCATCTTATGTCATTTATAACAAGGGATTAATACAGTCTTCTTATTATAGCTCGTAAGTTAATAATTTTTTCTGTATTTTATTGTTTTGTAACTATTCGATGATTTGTAAATAAAATTATTATTATATTTAAAAATTTTTATGACAACAAGAACTTTATTAAAATTTCCTCAGAAATCAAATTATTATTATTATATTTATTATATTATATTATATTTAGAACTTTACTAAAATTTCCTCAGAAATAAAATTATTATTATTATTACTATTATTATTATTATTTTTATTATTATAGTGGAATGTGTGAAGATTTGTAAATAGGTTTTCTAAGGAGATTTCAATAAAGTTCTTGTTATAATTATTATTATTATTATTATTATTCAGGCTTTAATTTTACAACTGCTTTAAAAGTTGTGTCTATAACTGCGATGATGACTAAACTCTTGTACGTGGATGAAAATAAAACGGTCATGCACACTTCCCAGTTTTACACAAAGCAAAGGCTCTATGCCTACAAATGGTTCCCATAACGAAGTTTATGAACCAACAAGTGTTGAATAAAATGTTCTTATAACAGAAAAATGTCTTGAGTTGTTCTTAGTTTTCAAAAAGTAAGCTACTTATTTACACTGTCCTCCCTCCTCTCTCCTTCCTCCAGGACCCTCAAGTCTCCTCGCACCTGCTGGCGTTCTCTGTCCTTCCCCCAATTAAGAGCCCGTTCAAAGGATATTATTTTACTTTCATCTTCTCTTACCTACAAAATAGGGGCTAATAGCCTCTATAACATCCACGCGTTTCATGTCGCAAAAATTTGTGATCAGTTCCTCCACGGTAAATGTTGGTTTACGCCTTACGATGTCGTCTAGAACTTCTTTAGTAGGGCTCTCAGCAGATGGCGGTTGAAGGCTCTCGTACTCGTCAATGGTAATACCACAAATATCCGCTAGATCTTTGTAGTTTTTTATCTGGGAATTATCTGCTCCATTGAGCATGCTTGTGACATCTCGCATCAAATCCAAGTCTTTGTACAGGTCATAAATCGTCCCCTTTCCTGTTCGTGAGAATCAAGTACGCGTATATGGTTAAAGCACAGTACTAAAAATCGACTGCAGAGCATCATGTTTCAGCTTCAGTTTCAGTTTTTTATTATTGCACACTATTTACAGAAAAACAACTTAACATACGATGGTTTAAAATGATATAGGAAAAATAAATACAGATAGAAATCAATTAGAAGAAACAATATTTAAAGGCTTTTGTTCTTGGGCCATCGTAGTTTAACGAGGAATAAAACACAAATAGCGGTGATAAACATATTAAACTTACGCATTTTAATAACTTGACGT